CCACTTTTTGATCTCTAAAACTGATTTATTGTCTGCTTAATTTCACAGGATTTTATCATCTGCATAGAAATGTTCCTGGCTGCTATCGCTCACCACTACACCTTTACCTACAAACCCTACGTCCAGGTATCCATCCATCCATCCACCCATCCATCCATCCATCCATCCATCCATCCATCCATCCATCCATCCATCCATCCATCCATCCATCCATCCAACCATCCATCCATCCATCCATCCATCCATCCATCCATCCATCCCATCCATCCATCCATCCATCCATCCATCCATCCATCCATCCAACCATCCATCCATCCATCCATCCATCCATCCATCCATCCATCCATCCATCCATCCATCCATCCATCCAACCATCCATCCATCCATCCATCCATCCATCCATCCATCCATCCATCCATCCATCCATCCATCCATCCACCCCACCCACCCACCCATCCATCCATCCATCCATCCATCCATCCATCCATCCATCCAACCATCCATCCATCCATCCATCCATCCATCCATCCATCCATCCATCCATCCATCCATCCATCCATCCATCCATGTCTTTCCCTCTGGTTTCCTGCAGGAAGCAGAGGAGGGTTCGTGCTTCGACAGCTTTTTGGCCATGTGGGATTTCTCAGACATCAGAGCTGATGTAACTGAGCAGGTCCGCCATGTTGGTAAGCATCGTTAGCAGATGTAAGCATGTAGTGATGATGTAATCGTCACTACATGCATCACTGCATAGCACAACTTTGGATCTTTTCCAAAACATAAATGTCCTTTCTGATACTCTCCATGTTATTAGAGTTTCTTCATTTCAGAAACAGAGAAACGAATCTTGTTATGAGTGAAATTATCTGCCAATGAAACCATTTCATCGATATTAAGGATGATGATGTTTCACTCCGTTCAGGCCGTACTTTCCTGGGACCAACAAGATGTACTTCGGTGCAGCGGCGACCCGAGCACACCGAGCACACCGGCCTGCTGAACTCCACCTCCCAGGATCCCATCGTCGCTGCGGCGTCCTCCATGCCGTCCTCCCCGTCCTCGGTGGGGCGGTACCAGGGCCTGGGCCACACCACCGCCCCTCACTCCATCTCCGCCCCGGCAGGTTTCACGTCTTCGTCCTGGGAGGACGACAGCGACTGCACGCCTCCGCAGCCGGGACCCGGACACTGAGAGAGGTTTAAACTGCAAATGTAGGATAGAAAACCGAAAGAGCGAATGCACTCTGAGGTCAAAGCCATGTCTGGTCAGGAGCTGGTATAAGATGTAAATGTTTCTCATCTGTTTTGCTGTGGTTTTGATAAATGTGACGGGTTGGAGGAGGGAAGCTGCTTGTTGTTTCAGTTTGTGCTTCATGATGTTGAAGTTCTTCAGAAAGTTTTAACTGTTTGTCCCAAAACAATAAAATCATAAAAACACCCAAATTAACAGAAACTGGATCTATCATTAAAAGGCTCTAATGTAGTAAACTTTAGAGAAACAAACATGCCCTAATATTTTCATCACTGTTACTGGAATTAGGCAGGAACCAGTTACATTTACTCAATTACTTTTGTTATGAAGTATTTTTACTCTCTTGAGTGAATTTCTGGATTTTCTACCCAATGAACGAAAAAAAAAAGTTTTAATCAAAAATTCCTCAGACACAAACAGACCTGCAGCTTTTATTAAAGTTTCATAAGATTTTTTTTATTGAAAGAAACTAATTTGAAAAAAAAAAAAGCCAGATTTTTTTTTTGTTACTTATATGATTTATTGTAATTTTTGTCCTTAAAATGCAAACATTTTCATGAAACTTTATATTTTGGTTCGTCTGATTATGAAACTTGTAAATATTAAATGATTGAATTTGATCCGTTTCTCAGTTCTTGAGTGAACTTTTACCAAATCACACATGATTTGGTAAAATCATGGTAAAATCATGTGTGATTTTACCAAATTGAGTAAAAACATGTTGAAGTACTTTTATTCTGTCCACCTCTGACTGTTACTTTAGATCACAGGTGTTTTATAAACTTCTCTTCCTGCAGATTTAATAATCTTATTCTACTTTTTGTCCACTAGATGGCAGGCCAAATGAGACTGCAACTCAGAAATAACTGTTTTAAAATTATGTAAAACAAAACATATAACAAGCTTATAAAACATGGAGATGGAATAAAACAAATCTTCCTATTGAAAAAAAAACTAGCAAGACTTTAATCTGCCTGCAGATGATCATATTAAAGAAAAACAAGTTATTTTTTATAAAAAGTCCTGTTGTTATTTTGCAGATATTTATTATTCGTGATTATTTTCTTATGAACAGAACCCTCATCTAATAATCAAACATTTTCTCTAGTTTTAGCTTGCAGTTTTGACTCAATTTAAACCTTCCTGAACCTTAGAGAGACTTTTTCTGTAATCAAACAGAAACAGAAAGAAAAATCCGCGTTAGTGCAGAATAAGCCCAGCAGCACACAATCTGTTATTGTTACAAAATCTGCTTTTACTACAAAAGATTAGCAGAAAATCTGCAAATACACAAATACACTTCCTGATTAACTTTAGTATTAGGTTCAGATGTATTAATAACTTTTGTCTCCATCTCTATAAAGTGTCATTTTGAATCAGTTTCTGCAGATCAGGGAACATAAATGTTCACATCATCTTCAATAAAAACATGTTCTGTCCCTTTAATGTGGTTCTGACGAAACCGAAAGTCAGATATTGGATCGAGCTGCAGGGACATTTCGGTGGTTTCCAAACCGTCACAAGAAAACAGGGAGTGAAGCTCGGTGGAGGTTCGGACTGGTTCCGAGGACGCTCCACAGTCCAAAGGTGGAAGAAAGCGACGAAACCTGAGCAACAAAATGTGAGTTTGTGCATGTTTTGTTGTCGTTGTTCGTGTCTGACTCGGATATATTCTCACATGTTGTTGTTCGGCTCTCGGCAGACATTTTGTTTTAGCTGCGCAGATAATAAACCTGCAACTTCTGCACCAACCAAACCCGAAACCGTATTTTTAACTGTGCTTTGGTTCAGCAGCCATGTTGATTTTCAAACGCGCGTCGAAATATGTTTTTATTGTTATTATTTGTTTTTACGTTTTCACAATAAACAACATGGTGAAAAACGAGCAGAAACTGCAGCAACATTAGCTTTAATGATGCATCTTAAATTCATTTTACATTTATTTCTATTATTTTAAACATGGATCAGGTTATTTCCTGGATTATTACGTTATTTATTATGTCACTTTGTTCTCTTGTCTCTTTAAGTACAGGAAGAGAAGCTCCTTTGTTTACACTCGTGAACTTTGAGCGTGCTTGTGTCAGAGGCTATGGCAAGCCGTTAATATAAACAATAATATCTATAATAACACGTTGCCTATAATCACAGGATGCATCGTTTCTTCCGCGCAGCTGCAGCGAATATAAAAACTCGGCGACGTGATTTACGTCTTAAGCTGCAGTTTAACACTGAAGTTTGTTATGAGATCAAATTCACTCTCTCTGTTATTTTTAGAAAATAATAGCCTACACTAGTTTGTTTTAACACCAGAAATAATTATTTGTTTAAGTGGGTAATGTTTTTTTTATTACACATGCAGCGCAGACAGATTTGTTTTTACTTTTACTTTGCCTTTGCTGATGCTTAGTTTTATTTTCAAAATAAGAAAATGTGAATTTTCAAGCTGCTAACTGGCTGAGAACAAACTGGGAATCAGCCTGTAGTTCCTCTTAAATAACAGCAGGTGTCAGCAAAAACTTTGAACATGAATTAAAAAAAATCACACAGCATATCAATTTTTAGACATGTACATCCTTCCTTTTTATAGCGTCATCAGTGAACAGTGAAATGTTGAAGTCTGGGCTCAGCTGACACTAATCTGATGTTTTTATAGTTGTACATGTTGAGGATCAATGTCTATAACTTAGATAAGACAAATAAAATCACTGAACTTAAATAAAAACTACAACTGATTTATTTTGCTTGGTTGTGTTATTTTTCTTCATTTCAGCTGCAGCAGTAGAAATGGCCGACAGGAAGAAGAAGAGGCGGTCGGAGTCGACTGACTCCCTCAGCGAGTCGTCATCCAGGTAACGCTATTATTAATCCTTTTGTTTGTTTCTTTTGCCTCATTTTTAACTGTTTATCTGTCAAGTATTAAGATCAGGAGATCAATAAAAACAAACATAAAAAGCTATTTATTTAGTCACAAACAAAAGTTAGAAATATAAAATCTTAAAAATCTTCTTAAAATCGGTAAAACCATTTGAATTATTGGGACAAATCCTTTTGCTCCACTTTTTATTTTGTTGGGTTGTGAAGTTTGTCATGATTCTTTAATGTCTCTTTAAAATGTTGGAGTTGTATTTTCCTTTTTTTCTTTGCCTCTTATTTTGGAAAAGATGAATTAAATCTGCATATAACTGCAGATATAATAGTCCCTGTATAGTAAGTAATGTTTGATTTTTAAAATATCTGTTTGTAGTTCAAAGTTAAGAAGAACTGAATCTCCAGTTTCCAGCGGCGTGTCGGTGAAGAGCGATTCATCCAAGTTTGATCCACCATTTTTCAGACATGAACCAGCTTCAAGGTAAATCTGCTTTTTTTTATCATACTTAAAAAACAAAATACCTGAATGTACTTTAGAATCATTATAAGTTGTTTTTCCTATAAGAGAGATTTGCTTCTGTAGAATACTGCAGAATGTATTTTCTTTATTAAATTTATAACTATTTAATAAACTTATTTATAACTATTTGTATAATTGTTATAAATAATTTTTATAACAATTGACAGATAGTCATTTGTCAATTATACAAATGTATAAAAATGTAAATATTGCTTCAGTATTTTTGTAAATCATCAGAGGTAAGTGGATTCGTGCAAAACAGCAAGAGTTTGTTTATTTGTAACTTTATTTACATTTCTTCGTTGAGATGATGAACATAATTAACATATTAGTTTGAGTGAAAATACTTTTTTTTGTTTGTAGTTCACAGTTGAGAATCAGGCCTTCATCTCTAAGCATTGTGTCCTTGAAGAGCGACAGCTCCAAGGATGAAATGCCTTTTTTTGCTCCTGAAACACCTCCAAGGTAATTTATACCATTTATTATATGTCTGAAAAAGTTTACACAAGATTTCTAAACTGTCATTATTTACAGTTTGAGGTGGTGAGGACTGACAGGTTGTGGTGTGAAAAATGATGACTCAATGATATTGATGAAAAACAAGAAATACAGAAATCCAGGCAGCACACCTGAGCCTATAGCTCAGGTACGGGTAGCAACTGGATACGATACACAAGTGGAGCAGAGGGACCAAGACAATATACAACCAGGATCAGACAGGGAACAACAGTCACTGCTGGGTTTAAATACACAAGAGGTAATCAGGGAACATGAGGGACAGATGGGGACAATAATGGGGTAGCCGGGACAATACAGAGACTCAATTAACTGAAAACAAAGAAACCTAAATCCTTACATTAAAAAACTAGTATGTTAACTGGCAAACCTCTGCTGGAAAGCTGTGCTTTGATATGTGATTTATTAAACCTTTTCTTCATTTGTAAAAACAGATATTTGCTACACAGAAATTTCACTATTTTGGCACAAGAGCCACCCTACTGTTGGTTAACCATTGAGTAAACTACCCAACCTTCCTTACAGAACCTTGATTGTGAAAACATTTCTCCATTTTTGTAAACTCATCTCCCTTTTCAGGTTCATACTGATCTGCTCCTCGCCCGCCTGACTGTTCACTCCTGGTTCTCATGCCACTCATCTGTCTTCCCTGTAGCTCTTAAGCTAGTCAGTTTCTCTCACTGCTTGTTGGACCTTCAATCAAGTTTCCTTTTCACCTTTATTTTTCCTTTTTTATGTTCATTTCTTCTGCACCTGTAAGTTTTCTTCACTCCCTTTTTTTAAATTAAAAAAATAATTTTTACAAACCTCCCCCTACCTTTTTTACATTTGTGTCCTCAAACAACACATACATCTCATCTCTTAAACTATATCTATTGAGTCCTTATTGTGACTGACATATACCAAAACAGGAATTTTGATGTTTTGTTTGTCCTGTTTTAGCCAAGCACTGCATTGTTCAATGTGCAACAAGGATTCAGCAGACCAAGACCCAATGCATTGTGGATGCCGGTTATGCAGAGAGTGTGCTGCCTCAGAATCACACCGATCTCCTTCAACAGTGGACACATGTTGTCCAAAATGTGGAAAGAAACCCAAAAGAACAGATGGTAATTACATATATATACATACATCTATCACTTCTTACAGTTCATCACAACTGAAATGTGCTGCTCTTAGGGCATATTTCAAGCATAAAGAGAGTTAAAGCTTAATTTAATAACATGATATTTGATTTTCACAGGAGAAGAAGACATTTCAAAACTAAAGAAGAAGCTTCAAAAAGCCATGCAAAATAAATTTTCAGTCACAGGTGAAGGTAATGGTGACCAACAAATTTCACTGAAAAGTATTTTCACAACTCTCTACATCATCATTGGTGAGAATAAAGAACTTTCTGAAGAACATGAGTCCAGACACCTAAAAGGCAGTATTCAAACATCATTGGATTCCTCAGTGAACCTCACTGATATCTTTAAACCTTTGACAGACCAGGAGAACCCCAACAGAATAGTCATAACTAAGGGAATTGCTGGAATTGGAAAATCTTTTTCTGTTCAGAAGTTCATCCTTGACTGGGCTGAAGAGAAAGCAAACCAACACGTTGATTTTGTTTTCTGTCTTACTTTCCGAGAGTTGAATCTGGTTACAAGAAAGAAAAGCCTCAATGAGTTGCTGGTAGAGTTTTATCCAGAGCTCAAACCCCTGAAAGATTCCTTGGCTTATGCCAAAGCAAAGGTAATTGTGATCCTTGATGGCTTGGATGAAAGCCGACATCCACTGGACTTTCAGGACATGAAGACAGTGTCGTCTCTCAGGGATGCAACATCTGTCGGTAACTTACTCGTAAACCTCATCAAAGGTAACCTTCTTCCTGAAGCAAACATCTGGATAACATCCCGTCCAGCAGCAGCCAATCAGATCCCTGCTGAGCATGTCAACATGGTGACAGAAATAAGAGGATTCACTGATCCTCAGAAAGAGGAATATTTCAAAAAGAGATACAGTGATGATCCGAGTCTTGCTGAGAAAATAACGTCTCATATCCAGTCCTCGCAAAGTCTTGACATCATGTGCCAGATTCCAATCTTCTGTTGGATTTCTGCTGTTTTATTCCAGGAGCTCTTTGGTGGAGAGCCAGACACTGACATCCCTCAGACTCTGACAGAGATGATGGCACAGTTTGTTTTTGTTCAAACAAAACGCAGAAGCAGAAAATATGAAGTGAAGAGTGAGACACACAAAGGAAATCTTCTACAGACACACAAAGAGTTTCTTCTTAAACTTGGGAAGCTGGCATTTAACCAGCTTCTTGAAAATAAATTAATCTTTTATGAGGAAGACCTGAGAAAAAGCGATATTGACACTCAAGAAGCGTCCATCTACACTGAGTTTTGTAACACAGTTCTTAGAGAAGAAGAAATCTTCTACCAGAGAAAAATCCACTCCTTTGTGCATCTGACAGTCCAAGAGTTCTTTGCAGCTCTCTATGTTTATGAATGTTTTGTAACCAATCAAACCAAACAGCTTGAGAAGTTTCTTGATTTGGAGGACAAAGACCATGCTTTAGTTGATCTTGCAAAGAAGACAGTTGAAAAAGTCCTGCAGAAGAAGAATGGTCATTTAGATTTTTTCTTGCGATTCCTCCTTGGTCTCATGGTTGAACCCAACCGAAGAGCCCTTCAGGGCATGTTGACATCCGTGGACCCAAATGACGATACAGACAAGAAAGTCTTGACTTACCTGAGATCAATCCGAAGAAAGAACTTGTCTCCAGATAGCTGCATCAACATTTTTCAGACCATGGTTGAGATGAGAGATAACAAACTCAAAGACGAGATTCAAGAATATCTTAAAATGGATGACCGTCCTAAAAGAGAGTTGACTCCCCTGCACTGCTCAGCCCTGGCATACATGCTGCAAGTGTCCAAGAATGAACTGGAGGAGTTGAATTTAAAGAGTTATAACACAACGGATGAAGGCAGGAGGAGACTCATTCCAGCTGTGAGAAGCAGTAAGAAGGCAGTGTGAGTCTAATTTTCTATTTACAATGAATAATCTATGATTAGGAACCGCTGCCCTGTAGCATTGGGTCACAAAGGTCTGGTCACTGTGGAGACCTTGGAGAACAGAGATTCTCCAACAGGCTCAACATTTTGTTAGTTCTTGTCTAATTTTCTGTTGGCTGTTTATTGCTCTTAGATGACAGGAATGTGTAGCACTGTCCCTGCTTTAGATTATGACCATATATTATATATTTCAACAACATTAAGTCTTCTATTTACGTCTTGTAGGTTAAAGGACTGTAAAGTGACTGGAGAGTGGATTGGACATCTGGTCTTTGGTCTAAAGTTTTCATTTTCACCACTGCAAGATCTGGACCTCAGCAACAACGATCTGAAGGATTCAGGAGTGGAGATGCTCTGTGATGGACTGTCCAATCCTGCTTGCAAACTCAAAATATTGAGGTAAGATAGATGTAAAACATATGTTCTCTATGCTGCTGTAATGGAATATAATTTATTCTTCATCGTCAAACGTGAATCTGAAACGAATGTAAGATCTTGTTTACATTTATTCTATATGCAGTATTGGTGTTAAGGTTTTGTGCAGATTAATCCAACAGTTGCATCATCCTCTGTATTTTCTCAGGTTGTCTGGTTGCCTCATCACAGAGAAAGGATGTGAACATCTGGCCTCAGCGCTGAAGTCCAACCCGTCCCACCTGGTTGAACTGGACCTGAGCTACAACAATCTGGGAGAAACAGGAAAGAAGCTGATTTCTGACTGTCAGCTCAAAAAATTCAAGTAAATACAATAATCTGGATTGTATTATAATCTTAAAGGCTTTTATAGTTTCTAACTCTGGTCTCTCGTTAAAGGTCCGATCATGATGGACCCCATCGGATGAAACCAGGATTTAAGAAGTGTAAGTAACAAACTCCTTGGTTGTTATTTTATTTCTGGTAATCAAACATAGATAACAATCAATGCCAAACTGGACTAAGAAACCAATTTTAAAAAAGCAAAACAGACTTGAACACTTACATTTCTGTAAACTGGGTTACTGCACATTAATCTAGCAATATGTCTGGATTTAAATATTCAGGAATTAGAACAAATTTCTACAGTTTGGTCACAGTACTTTACTAAGGTACTTTACTCTCCTTCAGTATTTCTCCTCAAGAAGCCAGGGAAGAGCGCTTTTGTATGTTTGAACTAGTGGTTTTTGTTTTTCCAGATGCCTCCACACTCACCCTGAACTCCAGCACTGCACACAAGAAGCTGCTTCTCTCTGACGGGAACAGAAAGGTGACCTGGGTGGAGAAGGAGCAGCCTTATCCGGACCACACAGAATGGTTTGATCGATGTCTGCAGGTTCTGTGTGAACAGGGCCTAAAGGAGCGCTGCTACTTTGAGTTGGAGCTGGTGGAGCCCTGCGCCGTTGGCTTAACGTACAGCAGCATCGGCAGGAAAGGAGAAGGAGAGGACTGCAAGTTGGGCCTGAATGATAAATCCTGGTGCAAGATTTGCTCAGAGGAAGGTTGCCACATACAGCACAATGGTAACAGAGTTTCAGTTTCCTCTTTGCGCTGCTCTCGTGTTGCAGTGTATCTGGATTGGGAAGCTGGCAGCATCTCTTTCTACAAAGGTTCTCATGACAACCTGACCCGACTCTACACCTTCAAAGATATAACATTCAGAGAGGCTCTCTATCCTGCTGTCGAACTGTTTCCTCACTCTTCTGCTGCGTTTTGTCAGATAAAATAAGATGTTTTAATGTAGTACGGGGGATGTATATACATTTTTATAATCCACATTAAAATATGGTTCTTACACTGTTTCATGTCGTAGTACAACAGTTTTTTAAATAAGAAAATAGATGTTCTATTCCTACTAAAGCTCATGCAAAGTAAATCACATAAAAGTCATTTAACATGGTAGCTTGAAACACTGTAAACCCACTACAGAGTGGATTGAACTTCTAGTCTTTGAACAAAAGTTTCTATTTTTCCCACCAAGATCTGGATCTGATGGATTCAGGTGTAAAACCTCCGATGCCTGTGGAGTCCATGCTGCAAACTCAAAACACTGAGGTGAACATACAACTGGAGTTTCTTATCTAACGGAAATTACATAGTAATATTGCTTCTTAAAGAGCAATAAACTTTAAATTCAAATGAACACTGGAGCTGGAAGAGATTTTAAATATCCAAGATAAATAAACAAAACAACAGAAACAACTAATAAGATGAATTATGAAACCTCTGTAAGCAAAATTGTCCTTCATAAAAAGGATTAATTGAGGCCAAAGTGCCAGACTGGAGACTTTTTTGTTGTTGTTGGTAGAAAGAAAAAAGAGAAAATGATAAATTACTGAGCTCAATTTAATTTATTGTATGAATAATTATTTTATTGCTTTTTGTGACAGGCCTATGTAATACAGTACATAATATATAATGAAAATGAGGTTTAGTTATCAGGTGTGTTAAACAGCTGCTTGCAGGACGATTCGTTTATTGATTAAAATGACTAAATGTTTGATTTAACAGAAAAACTAAAACATTTTTTTGACTCTCATCCTGTCTGAGGTTTTGTTTGTGCTTTTTTATTAAATGTAAAATAGTATTATGATCGGTTTTTAGAACAGTATTCAGGTAAACATCAGTAAAACAACTTTCTTTTGAGTGTTTTGTAAATATTTAAATGAATTTTAATGGTAGACTGTTGTACTCCAACACTGTAGATGATGAATCTAACGTCAAATTAGTTTGATGTTGAATAATATCTGCAATTTATATTCTTACAATTTTATACAAAAATGTTAATTTGTGTTTGTTGGATAAATTGTGATGTTATTAATCAAATATTTGTATTTTTATGTAACTTTATAATGTGTCTTTTCTTATATGCTTTTATTGTTTAATTTCATCTTAGCATTAAGAATGTTTCTGTATTGTTGAATTATTCTGATTCTGTTCTCAGAAGGCCTCACTGAAGGAAAGCAGAGACAACAGGTTTCTGCAGGTTTATCTCTCAGCGGGAAGCAAGGCCTCTTTGACCGGCTAGATTGCTATAAAACTGATCATGAAGATGTACAACTTGTTCTGTTTAACTCTGTGTCTGGAACGAGACTATCTAGTGTTAGATACCTTGAGTTTAGTTTTAGTTAGTGATTGTCATTGGCGCTGTAGCTATGTGATGAAGTGTTTTCCCCTCCCTTTAGAGCTACAGCGTTCTTTGTGATTAAGGATCCTGAAAACAATAAAAAGAGAGGAGCAGGCAAATGTGGTTTCAGACGGTAGGAGATTGTGACTGAAAGCACATCTCTGTCTGTTCTCCTCACGAGTCAGAAAGAATCTAAATCTCTTGTCTTTTAATCTGTTTAAAGATGTTAAACCTGACAGTGTTAATTTGTCTTTATGCTATTCTTTGCTATTCTTTATACTTCATAAATGTACAGTCACTAAATGTAGTTTAACTATTATCATCTGTTTCTGACATAATTAATCTTTTCCCTAGATTTCATTTTAAAAAAAACAAACAAAAACAAACTAAATGAACCAAAAAGTTAATAATCAAATAAATGCAATAAAATAATAAAATAAATTTTCTTCCTTGTCTGGATCACAGTATCTGTATACTAGGACTAATAAAATGTTAGCTAACTACAGTTTATTAGATATTGGCTTAAAATATGTTTTCTGTGTGTTAAAATCTTTTAAAATGTTTTCAGTGAACTACATGTTTTGAAACGTCTGTAAATGATTTTGAATTAATTGGTTATATTTAGGTACGGCTCCCCGCGAGGGACACAGACGACGTTTTAATTTTTTATTTCTTTACCTTGCAGTAATAATGTATTCAGTGATCACCTTGTACACTGAAGGCTTTTCTGCTGAAATTTAAGGTTGTTATAAGACTTTTCAGTTTGTAATTTAAGTTTTACATGTTTTCCTTTAGGATACAAAAGCACCACAAACTAATGTGCAAAATGCAAGAAGCAAAACAGAAAACAGATCAATGTATGCAAAATAGTCCAGGGTGTATTTGCATAGTTTATGTGAAAGGAAGCAAAAAAAAGAAAGTATTTCAACTGAAATGTTATGCATTAACAACTTTTATTGATAATCACGTAATAAAAGTCTTTTCAACACTGAGATATTCATGTTTGTTCTACAGGAAGGGTCGGATATCTAAAGGGTGGGACTTAACGTCAGTTCACCACAAAGACATGAGAGACGAGGGACAGGCTGGAAAGTTTCTGAGCTGTTTAACCTGATCTGCACGTCTTTGCATTTAGATACATAAAATTCAGACGCAACAAACCAGTTGCATGTGTTTTGTTGTATTTTTATTTGTTTAGTATTGCATAACGGTTGACAATTTGTCTTTAAAGTTAACACACCTGCTGGACTGTTTTATGTAAACAATGAAGGCAAAACAGCAGATGGTAAAATTTGAAACCATTCAACAGTTTCAATGAACAGACGCCAAGGTGAATAAAAAAAACCCGCCCATGGTGGAGGCGTGGTCCTCTAAAACTGACACGTCTGGTTTTGCCCCACATGCATTCAAGGAGAAAGAGGTTGATGAACCAAGTTTTCCAGGACGGACAAATTTAAGGCTTTTTTTTTATAATTAAAGGAAAGAAGAAGGAACAAAAACAATATTTTTAAAATTCCAGTAAGTTTCATTTTGTTCTCTAAACATCTTTTTATTTATTTGTAAACTTTTTTTTCATGAATGAGTTTTTTATTAATTCCAAAAAGTAATTAAACTGGGCTTTAGCTGGCATCAATAATCAATTTATTAGAGCTTTCTCTCAAAGATATTAATTTTTGTTTAGCCAGAATAAATGATCAAGCCTTTCTCTTCTGCACAGACTTCAGTAGTAAAGATGCAAGATGTTCTTATAAAGAAGATTATTACTCTGTCAGTATATACAGTTAGGGCCAGAAATATTTGGACAGTAACACAATTTCGTGAGTTGGGCTCTGCATGCCACCGCATTGGATTTGAAATGAAACCGCTACAACAGAATTCAAGTGCATTGTAACGTTTAATTTAAAGGGTTGAACAAAAATATCTGATAGAAAATGTAGGAATTGTACACATTTGTTTACAAACACTCCACATTTTAGGAGCTCAAAAGTAATTGGACATATAAAGATAAACCAAACAAAAAAGTTTTTTCTCAATATTTTGTTGCGAATCCTTTGGAGGCAATCACTGCCTTAAGTCTGGAACCCATGGGCATCACCAAACGCTGGGTTTCCTCCTTCTTAATGCTTGCCAGGCCTTTACAGCCGCAGCCTTCAGGTCTTGCTTGTTAGTGGGTCTTTCCGTCTGAAGTCTGGATTTGAGCAAGTGAATGCATGCTCAATTGGGTTAAGATCTGGTGATTGACTTGGCCATTGCAGAATATTCCACCTTTTTGCTCTCATGAACTCCTGGGTAGCTTTGGCTGTATGCTTGGGGTCATTATCCATCTGTACTGTGAAGCGCCGTCCGATCAACTTTGCAGCATTTGGCTGAATCTGGGCTGACAGTATATCCGGTACACTTCAGAATTCATCCGGCTACTCTTGTCTGCTGTTATGTCATCAATAAACACAAGTGACCCAGTGCCATTGAAAGCCATGCATGCCCATGCCATCACGTTGCCTCCACCATGTTTTACAGAGGATGTGGTGTGCCTTGGATCATGTGCCGTTCCCTTTCTTCTCCAAACTTTTTTCTTCCCATCATTCTGGTACAGGTTGATCTTTGTCTCATCTGTCCATAGAATACTTTTCCAGAACTGGGCTGGCTTCTTGAGGTGTTTTTGGGCAAATTTAACTCTGGCCTGTCTATTTTTGGAATTGATGAATGGTTTGCATCTACATGTGAACCCTTTTATTTGCTTTCATGGAGTCTTCTCTTTACTGTTGACTTAGAGACAGATACACCTACTTCCCTGAGAGTGTTCTGGACCTCAGTTGATGTTGTGAACGGGTCCTTCTTCACCAAAGAAAGTATGCGGCGATCATCCACCACCGTTGTCTTCCGTGGACGCCCAGGCCTTTTGAGTTCCCAAGCTCACCAGTCAATTCCTTTTTCCTCAGAATGTACCAGACTGTTGATTTTGCTACTCCAAGCATGCCTGCTATCTCTCTGATGGATTTTTTCTTTTTTTTTCAGTCTCAGGATGTTCTGCTTCACGTCAATTGAGAGCTCCTTTGACCGCATGTTGTCTCAGCAACAGCTTCCAAATGCAAAACCACACACCTGGAAACAACCCCAGACCTTTTAACTACTTACTTGATTACAGGTTAACTAGGGAAAGGCCTTTTGAGTTAATTGCAGCCTTTAGAGTCCATTGTCCAATTACTTTTGGTCCCTTGAAAAAGAGGAGGCTCTGCATTACAGAGCTATGATTCCTAAATCCTTTCTCCGATTTGGATGTGGAAACTCTCATATTGCAGCTGGGAGTGTGCACTTTCAGCCCATATTATATATAAATTGTATTTCTGAACATATTTTTGTCAACAGCTAAAATAACAAAACCTGTGTCACTGTCCAAATATTTCTGGCCCTAACTGTATATAACGAAACAATGTGTAAATGTATTATTTATGCATGTATTAATGTATTCTTCTTTGTGAAATATTTAAGTATTTCACCGTTTACTAGACAAGAAGGAAATAAATGATATATTTTGATGTGTTTGGTGCAGATATAAATTAAAGTTTGATTAAATACAGGTTGTATATCATGTGGATGGGTTAAATGCATTACTTTTGTTTTTTTCCTCTTAAAACTCAGACAAGCATTTGGTGCTGAAGACCAACAAGAACAAAAACATCCTGACTTTAAAGATGACCAGTTTATTTTATTCTTAACAACACATTATATCAGAAAACAATATTTACCTCTAATGCTGGAAATCTCTTAAACTCTGCTCAGTTTTTCTTTAATCCTGTTGAGAAAACTATCATCAACTATAATCTCTGAATACAGTTTATTTAAGCTCTGACATTTTCCCACCACAACCTGCACTTTTACTCTTATTCAGCTTTTCGTAACTATTTTACACAAGAATCAGAATGTATATTTATATTAATCTATTCCTGTGGAAACGTCTAATTGAGTTTTTCATGCTGGTTTAAAGATATTTTGTGTTTTGTTTTGGTGGCAGAGTTGTGAAATAAATAGAAACATGTAGTGAGATTTTAGTTCAACATTATCACAGAAGAAGAAGAAGAAGTGGAAGCAGAGGAAGCAGATGTTGTAACGGTTAATTTCTGTTGCAATAACTTCTCTGTGCACTTCACATAAAAACAACTAGAAAAACAGAAGAATATTTATAACCTGTAGTAAATATTGTTAAAATTAAACCATGTTTCATTTAACCTTCATCACACTTTCACAAACAAACCAAAACTAAGCACATGTAAAATGTTCCACATTATGCTGACCTACATATGCAACCAGAAACCATAACCTGTAAAAATGTTAGTTCCTCTTGAAGCTGCAGTTAAACTGAGTTATTAAATAAGTATAAAAGTATTTCTGATCTCCTGCAGCATAACAAATGTCTGACCGGAGCAAGACAAGGAAATCTGCAACAAAGACCAGATCACCTGAAGGGCCCACAGTTTGGTAATTATAGTTTTGACACGAGTAGAAAAAATGTAACAAGTGTTAATAGTTTATGAAATGCAAGTTTCAGCAAAACATAATAATCCTGTGTGTCATTGTGTTATAATATGGGTGTAGTGTGAAGTGCACAATTCAGAGGTTGAGGTCCAGACAAAAGTCAGGGAGCAAAACAATCTTTAATACATCTGCAGACGGAGAGCAAGAAATCCACTGCATTAGGCACAAATTAGGATCCGCTCTGAGGAACCCAGAGTTGCATAGTTACTTTATTCATCTCTCTTTACTACCGAGGCGGAGACTCAATCTTCGAAGACCAAACAAAAGAAACAAAGGAAAACATAAGGAACCTTGTATGTTCATTCACTGTAATGTCTATGGGAGGTGAAAACTAAACACTCTATCTCCATGCAGGGAAAAACAGCGAGTTCCCAAATAACTGGAAAGTTCAGCAACCCTGGGAAACTTACTTCAGTAGACACATCTTGGTTCATTAGTTTGTACACCGTATCCAGCTGCACAGAAAAACACCTTGACTGTGATTCAAAACACATTACATTTATATGACACATAAAGGAACATCATTTAATACGAATAAAACCTCTTCACAGTAGTTTAATTACAAGATCATAATTTAATCTATACAACCTGCTTACTTTGATGCCAGATCTTATCAGTTTCACTTATTTTATTTGCTTTAGGAACTAGACCAAAATGTGTTTTTGCAGTACTATCTCCTTTTTGTAGAGTGAATCTGCCTTGCAAATGTAGTCAAATATTCTTTCATAACAGTTGGCCTCCAACGTCTCAACATGAATGTGATAAAACTATCAATAAAATGCAAATCTTGAGAAAACATTTTGTTCTTTTAGTTCCCAGAAGAGTGAAGATGAGCCAACAGGCCCCAGCAGCGTCTCTGTTAGAAGTGACATGTCAAAGGGTCTGCCAAATGACTTTAGAAAAGCCAGATCAAAACGGTATGTGCAATTTATGTTACTAATTAAGAAAATCCTGAATGTGCTCAGAAGAGCTTTTGTTTTCGCCAATGCAGCAAGAAAATGATAAAACTGTTTGGTTTCTAGTTTCAGTATTACTGTTTCTTTTTTTGATTATGTCAACTTTGTTTCTAATTCAGTCCTTCCTCAGTGACCCTAGACTATTTATTTATTCCTTGTGACAGATTGCAATGACATTAATTTTTCTAGTTCAAAGATATGGATATTTTCTCTTCATATTAATGTGCAATTATTATTTTCCCTTTGAAGAAACTGTTTGTTTTAATTTACAGTCTGAAATTCAGCAAGGAGCTGAGCAGCTGCTCAGTTTGTCAAAAGGTTGTGAAGGATTTGCTTTATCTTATTTGTGGACATCCATCATGTAAGAAGTGTTTGGATTTGAGCCTGACGGATTTACCGACAGACTCGCCCTGCTTAACGTGTGGAGAGACATGTAGGAAAAACACACTGAAAGACAGAGGTAAGTTTTAAAGAATATTAAATTTAGTTCAGTAAAGCACCAAGGTACAACACAAGGAAATTTATTTTAATCAATTAGTGACAATAATTCTTTATCAAGGGAAAAGAATCAAGTTAAAATGTGAACTTAGGGTTGGTTTTGGTTTGCAGCCAATTTCTTATTTACCCTCCAGCTGTGAACTCAAATTACAGTTAAAACACCTGCCTTTTTTTTTCTCACTATGCAGGCAGAAGATCAAGTTTCTTTGGCTTCATGATCTCATTCAAAGATAAGAAAACCGACAAATGTGACTTTTCTCACATTTTCCATAACATCTCATCAATCAGGTTTTAGGAGACTATTTACAATTTAAAAAAGAGCAAATAACTGAAACGTCTTAATTTACTCTGAGCATTCAAAGTATTTCAAACTTCTGATGATAATTGTTATTGAAGTGTCTTTATATTGTTATGTCTGAAACTGGTATCTATTTATGAAAAAAACAGAATAAACAAGCATCCAAGAAAACACAAATTGATGTAATTTAGTTTAACCTGCCATAGTTAGGCTGGGATAAACCATGCATTCATAAAACTTTTGTTAGAAAAGTATTTTCAGTATTTATTAGTACTTCTGATATGTTCTAACAGTTTTAACTAACCAGTTAAAGTAACCAGTAAGACACGTGATATGTGTTGTATTTGATTTCAGGTAACAGCGTCTCTCTGGAAGCACAGATGAATCTTAAAAAAGCAATGAAAAATAAACTCACCTTGACGTCTGAAGGTAATGGTGACCATCACAGCTCCCTCAAAAGCATCTACACAACCCTGTTCATCACCACTGCAGATAATGATGGACGAAACGAAGAACATGAGTACAGACAGATCAAAAATGATCATCCAAACCAACCACTGAATGACTCTACAGTCAACCTGAGTGAGCTCTTCAAGTCAGTGGCTGCCCAGGAGAAACCCAACAGGACAATCCTGACTAAAGGAGTTGCAGGAATTGGGAAATCCTTTGCTGTTCAGAAGTTCATTCTTGATTGGGCTGAAGACGAAACAAACCAAGATATTGACTTTGTTTTCAGTCTTGCTTTCCGAGAGCTGAATCTGAGTGTAGGAGAGAAAAGCCTCCATGAGCTGCTGACTGAGTTTCATCCGTCTCTCCAACCTCTAAAAGATTCCCAGGATTACGCCAAAACAAAGATCATAGTGATCCTTGATGGTCTGGATGAAAACAGACATCCACTGGACTTTCAGAACTCAGCCAAAGTAACTTCTCTTGATCATATAGCATCTGTAGGCGATCTTGTTGTAAACCTGATCCAGGGTGACCTCCTTCCTGAGGCAAACATCTGGATAACTTCCCGACCAGCAGCAGCCAGTCAGATCCCTGCAGAGTACATCGACATGGTGACAGAGATAAGGGGGTTCACTGATGCTCAGAAAGTGGAATATTTCAGAAAGAGATTTGGTGATGATTCCAGTCTCACTGACAGGATAACATCACATATTCGGTCCTCACAAAGCCTGGACATCATGTGCCAGATCCCAGTGTTCTGTTGGATTTCTGCTGTCTTATTCCAGGAAGTCTTCAGCAGAAATGAAGAGACCGAAATCCCCCAGACTCTAACAGAGTTAATGGCACATTTTGTCTTTGCTCAGACAAAACGTAGAAGCAGAAAGTATGACATGAACCCTGAGAAAAACCGGGAGAAGCTCCTGAAGACTCACAGAGAATTTCTTCTGAAACTTGGGAAACTCGCGTTTGTCCAGCTTCTAGAAAACCAGCTCATCTTCTATGAGGAAGACCTGAAAGGTTGTGGCATTGGTATAGCAGAAGCAACAATCTTCTCTGGTTTATGTAACACTGTTCTCCGAGAAGAGGAAGTCTCCTCCCAGAAAAAGGTTTTCTTCTTTGTGCATCTGACTCTTCAGGAGTTCTTTGCAGCTCTGCACGTCTATGAATGCTTGAAAACTAATGAAACCAAAGAACTTGGGAAGTTCCTTTGTGTGGAAGACAAAGACATTCCTTTACTTGATCTTCTAAAGATGACAGTCAACAAAGTGCTTGAGAAGAAGAATGGTCACTTAGACCTTTTCTTGCGATTCCTGCTTGGCCTGATGGTTGAACCCAATCAGAGAATCCTTCAGGGTCTGTTGACTCCTCTTGACGAAGGGGATGAGATGGACAAGAAAATCTTAACTTACTTGAGATCACTTCGAAGAAAACCATCTCTCCAGACAGCTGTATCACCATCTTCCAGTCCATGACTGAGATGAGAGATCACAAAGTCAAAGATGAGATTCAGGAATTTCTCAAACTGTCTGACCATTCGAAAAAGGAACTGTCTCCTTTGCACTGCTCTGCTTTGGCCTACATGCTGCAGGCCTCCAAGAATGATCTGGATTTACTGGATCTGAAGAGCTACAACACATCAGATGATGGTAGAAGAAGGTTGATACCAGCTGTTAGGAGCAGCAAAGAGTTGTGTGAGTACGCTTTGCAATCCTTTTCAGTTTCTTTGTTTACGACAGGATGCCCAAGTCCAATCTTCAAGAGCTACTATCCTGCAGCATTTGCATACATCCCTTACCCAACAATCTCCATCAAAAGGTTCAATTCCATCATCAGCATTAAGTCATTGAGCTCTACAGAGGCTTGGTAATGGATTCATTTGATGAATAGTAGCCCTTGAGGACTGGATCAAGTTTTGACGTACTTACCAATTTCTCATTTCCGTTATTGGTGTCTGTAGGCTTTTTAAATTTTTTATTTGTTCACTAAAGTAGATAAATCTTTATTGTCTTGTGATGCATTTCCTTAGGCTTGCAAATTGCAAAGTTACAAAGAACTGGATGGTTCCTCTGGCCAATGCCCTCAAGTTTTTCTACTCAGCTCTGAGGGATCTTGACCTGAGCAACAATGACCTGAAAGATTCAGGAGTGGAGGTGCTTTGTGGAGGACTGTCGAGTCATTCCTGCAAACTGGAAATACTAAGGTAACAACACATGAAATACCATGAACAGCATGGTTCATGAGAGAACAGGCTCCAGTCTGAGCTCAAAAAACATCCACTGACAAAAGATATTTCATACCCAGAAGCTATAGTTTGACTTCGGAACAATGTATGGAAATCAGTTATGAAAATTATTTGATTTGCATGGGTCTGCCATATCTAGCATGAGCATAAAGATCCTCCATTTGACCATTCTATCACTCAATCTTCATGTTTATTCCTGTTTTCTACTCTTTTCCTAGGATGTCTGGCTGTTTGGTCACAGAGACGGGATGTGATCATCTGGTCTCTGCTCTTCAGTCCAACCCGTCACATCTGACGGAGCTGGACCTGAGCTACAACCATCCAGGAGACTCTGCTGGCAAGAAACTCTCTAAGCTGAGGGATGATCCACAATACAAGCTCAGAAAGCTGAAGTAACTAAACTGTCTGTAGGAAAACTGAACTAAAACCCTAAACTGGGTGTCAATAAACTTAATTTGGTGTACCTTTTGCCTCTACAGCCTCGACGATGGAGGGACTCACAGATTGAAGCCTGGCTTTAGGAAATGTACGTCACATGTACATCAATGCATTATTTGTCTCATGATGGCTGAATTTGTGTTTAAATGATTTATTCTTTTCTCTAGATGCCTGTGAACTCACTTTCAGTCCTGATGCAGAACACCAGAAGCTGGTTCTGTCTGAAGGAAACAGAAAGGTGACCTGGATGGAGGATGATCCAGAAAACTCAGGTCACCACCAGGTGGTGCTGTGCAGTCAGGGCCTGACAAGACGCCACTACTGGGAGGTGGAGGTCTCTGGATCTTTGAGCATCGGGGTCATACAGGAGGAGGCCCGAAAGAAAGACACAATGAGTGATTTCACAATGGGGCACAATAAGGATTCTTGGTGTTTGGTTTGTTCGGATGATGGTTTTCATGTTTGGCACCATGATGACAGAGTAAACGTGTCTTCCCTGGGAAGACGCACCAGTCGGTTGGGGGTGTATCTGGACCGGCCTGCTGGTTCTCTGTCTTTCTACAGAGTTTCCTCTGACAGTTTGATCCATCTTCACACTTTCACAGTGGCTTTTAGTGATCCTCTGTATTCTGCAGTTGAACTTAAAGCCCAATCATCTGCTGTGTTTTGTATTTTATAACTTAGGTGGGTCCTGCTTACATGTATAGAGTGCTGTAAAAAGTAATGTCTCCCTATGGATTCATTTGGTTGAACCCAATCAGAGATTCCTTCAAAGTCTGACTCCCCTTGATGACTGGGAAGATACAGACAAGAAAGTCTTAACTTACCTGAGATCACTTAGAACAAAAACCATCTCTTCAGACCATGACTGAAATGAGAAATCACAAAGTGAAAGATGAGATTCAGAAATTTCTCAAACTGTCAGAAATGGAACTTGTTCCTTTGCACTGCTCTGTTGACAAAATATCAATGTCACATTTATTTATAGAGCACTTTAAAAACAGATGTAAACCTGCCGTACAAGAACAACAACACAAATTGATAAAAACAGAGTATCAAAACACTACTTCAAATAAATGCTGGAGAATAAAAATGAGTTTTGAAGATCAATTTAAAATGATCAAGGCTGTTGGCAGATCTAATCAGGAAAGGTAAATTATTCCATAGAACAGGAGCAGCAACAGAAAAAGCCAGATCTCATTTCCTCTGAAGTCGGGTCCGAGGAACTATGTCTGTTCATAAATCTTTTTTAGATTCTCTTTTCTACTTTGCAAAATGGTGAGATGATAAAGAAAGTACGAGCTGTACTTAAAACAAAATGCCTGATTGATCATTAGCAAAAGGTTATTGATGCCATAAGAAACAATGTATTTATTACTCCATGAGTAGAATGTGAAGTTAAAGCAGTTAAATTACATTGACTTTAGTTTGCCAGTGTTGTGGATCATATCTGAAGGAGAGCATTTGTACATTTGATTTGGACTTTATTGTGTTGGTATGCTTTTATTTGGAAGGGGCAATACTTTATTTATAGCAATATTTAGATTATGGGATTTATAAATATATATATTTATCAAAGATTTTTACAGTTTAAGCGTTTTTGGTTTTCGAAAAGTATATGAAAATTTAAAAATGTTTTCTACTTTGCTTGTTTAAATCCAATCAAATTTTATTTGTATAGCACATTTCATCAACAAGGCATTTCAAAGTGCTTTATTACATTGCAGAACATGCAAAGCACACAGCTACTGTGTCATTCAATGAAGTGTCTGTATTATGATTCATTCATTGCTGCTAAAATGTGGTGTGCATTATTCATACATATAAGCTGTCACTGAAAACTTTATACAATCATGGAATAAAATACTAATATATTTAAAACTGTGACTTGTGATTGCATTTTATTTAGTATTTTCTTACTTTAGATCTACTGTGTAGAGCACAAATGTTCGCAACAAAGTGTAAGACACAGGAAATAGAACGAGGTAAATAATTTACCATTTATTTATCGTACTGTAATCATCTTGATCAAAGATAAAATGAGTACATACAAAAAAAAAAACAACTTTTAAAAGTTGATTTCATCCATTACTTAAACTGAGTAATACAAACCAATATGTCCATATGTCAGGATCACTGTGATGTCTGTCTAAGGGCCATGAGTTATATACATCCTTCTCTGGTCAAAATGAAATTCAAGAACAGGTGAGGGACAGTTCAGAAAGTGTTACAAAGCTGATATTGAGTTGCGGTGTATCTGGATGGGGAAGCTGGCAGCAAACTTTCATATTTCATACAAAGAAAAGCAATAAGAAAAAAAAAATCTGTGTACGTTGGGAGTCTTCATACATGACATATTAGGACAAGCACATTTGTAGGTATTTTTACTGAAATTCTCTTCATTAACAAACTGACAATAAAGATCCTTTCAGGACTGACATATTTTCAATCCAGTTTCTATGTATAAAACTAACTGAAATATGTTAAGAGGTCTGTAATCATAACAGAATAATCTGCTGGTCTATTTAAAGTCTATTAAGTCTGTTTTTCCTGTAAGTAATAGCATCTCCTAACTTTCAGGTTGCAGATATTGTCACCACAATATCCTGCTAGAGTTATCTGTAATGTAAACACTCAACGGACAGCAGCAGATGTTCAAACAGACCTTTTCTGAGAACCTCTAATGCATCCTTCAGGTTAGCCTTTGTTAAGAACCAAACGTCCAACATGAGCAGAAATTAGACAACTTGAAGGGTCAAGAAGGAAAGCCTGAAAAAGATTTATATTTGTGATAGTTATTACTGAATTGTAATTTTAGCTAAAGAAAAACATTATGGGTGTTTGAGCCTCATTTTCATATTAACCTGGAGGGGTATTGTATCAAGTCCCACCCGCTTTTGTTCACTTCACTCAGGAAGCAGAGGGACTGGTACGACACGTGGCTTCTCGCTTTCTGGAGTATAATTTGTTTTACTGACAGACTTGAAACTTTTTCTTTCATAACTAAGGAAAAGAACGAGCACCAACTGAACTATTTTTTCTTCACAGTAAGTATTTTCTTTTCTAAGAATAACTCAGAACATCTGCTATCTTTCTTTGTGAATGTTCTAGTCCTTTTGTTTCTTCCATAACTGAATTTTCTCATTCCTAAATATTAATTTAATTATTCTCAATTTGGCATTAATTAATGTGATGTAACCTTTTTTGTAGGATACATAAATTTTTTTTGCCAAGTAAATTATCAGACCTATTTTCTAGTCATTGTTCTGCTTTATAAGCCCTTCAGTAAATACAACATGTTAGAACAATTTCTAGTCCGTAACTAAACAGAGTTGAGTATGTACCTACTGACTAATAAACTGTTCTATGAAGAACGCCTGTTTTTCATAAACTATCACCATATGGTAGAAAATATACAGACAGGAAAGAAAGAAGAAACAATTGCTTTTTTTATATTTACTCCTTACTGAGCTGCACTGTTTTTAAAAAATATACGTTTCTGACTACCAAGTCAGTAGCATCACTATAAAAATTAAACAATGAAAACTAACTGCCAGTGCTTTTGTCCTGGAGGTGGTGCTCACAGTAATTTCTCTTATATGATAAATGCTTTTTGTTAGCTCAATTAAGAATCAAAAGAATTATTCATCTTCAAAATCTTTTGTTTGACTTGAATAAAAACATTCAGTTGAGTTCGTTTATATGAAAATAAAGCAGGAAATTCTGCACTCTAACTGATTGCAACAGTCATCGATGAAAAAGCAGAACAAGCTTTTTACCGCTGAGTTAGCTAAGAAAAACAACAGAGGAGTAAATACCACCCATTCAAAATACAATTTCACATTTGTGGAATACATGTTTATTTTTATAAAATGTAAGTAGATGTAAAACGTGCAAGACATTGGTAAATATGCCAGCACAGCTACTAGAGTGCTATTAAACCTTCACTAATGCAAAACTCTGCGTTAGGCTCTTGTATGTATGTGTTTCTTTCTGAACATGCACATAAATTTAGTTTTTAACCAAATACAAATACAAAGTTGTGTTTCTGTGAAGCATCAACAATGTCTGACAAGAACAAAAGGACGAGATCTACAAGACAAAACGCATCTAATGCAACACCACTGCCAACAGTCAGGTAAAATCCTATTCATGTTCCTTCATTTCACTTTGTTTGTTGATTAAATGCATGCAACATTAAAGGCATTCATTAAAATGCAGCATTAGATGAAAATAAACTTTGTTTGCAGTTCACAGAAGAATGAAGACAAGTCAACAGGTCCAAGCTGTCTCTCCATTAAGAGTGATGCCTCCATGTTTTTGCCCAAAACTTTAGAGAGGACAGATCAAAACGGTATGTACAAACTTGAAAATGTCCCAAATGTGTAATTTATGTTGCTCAAGGACCAAAAGATTTAAAAAGTGCTTGAATGAAAAAAACAAACACCAAAAACCTGACAAAATGAGAAAAAACTTAGTTTTATGTTGACATCAGCTCTGTTGACATTGGTGATGTCTTAATTTCTCAATAAAGTAAATTCAATCTTGACGATGAAGTATCTGTCCAGTGATTTTCAACTGCACATAAAAAGAGGAAGACATAAGCTGATCTGTTGAAGGACATCACCCATGAAAAATCTAAAAGTTCAGGAAAGTAAGGTGCAAGAACTGATACAGTTGATACCGTATCAAGGCCTTGAAACAAGACATTCTTGCTCAAGGCAACAGTCCCTGATCCAATACCTCAAATTATTAATGATCTTTTTGATACTCAGAGTTCCAGTGGTAGTTTATTTTAATGACGTTCATCAGACATGTATGTGTTCTTTAATCCAAACCCATCAATTATTCTTACAGTCAGAAAATCAGGGAAGATCTGACTGGCTGTTCAGTCTGTAAACAAGATTTGGGGATTCAGTAAACTTCAAGTGTGGACATCGCTCATGTCAGCACTGTTTGGACGAGGAGCAAGTCGAATCACTAATAGACTCCCCGTGGCCAAAGTGTGGACAGAAATTACAAAAAGACACTCCTGAAGATAAAGGTAAGTTTGAAAAGCTATTACAAAACTTTTACTACAAAATGTGTGACCATGAGCATAAGAAATACACAGTATGTATATATTCTGCTAGGCTAAAACTTTTTACTCTGTCCTATATAAGTTCATATGGACATCCAATAATATGGCTTAGATTTATGGCCCTCAAAACTAGCACAGATTCTAAAACATAAGAAACTTGAAATGATCTCTTGAAACTGAAAAAAGTAAAAATTGATGGACAGCAAAAAAATTATTGAATTATCGAGTATGAGTTAATTACTGTTAGTGATCTTTCACTAGTACATCCTCAGAATAAAATATTGTGGCCAAATTGTAGGTGCATTGTTTCCTTTACACTACTAGTTGTTCACAACTCTTACGTGTTGTATTTGATTTCAGGTAACAGCGTCTCTCTGGAAGCACAGATGAATCTTAAAAAAGCAATGAAAAATAAACTCACCTTGACGTCTGAAGGTAATGGTGACCATCACAGCTCCCTCAAAAGCATCTACACAACCCTGTTCATCACCACTGCAGATAATGATGGACGAAACGAAGAACATGAGTACAGACAGATCAAAAATGATCATCCAAACCAACCACTGAATGACTCTACAGTCAACCTGAATGAGCTCTTCAAGTCAGTGGCTGCCCAGGAGAAACCCAACAGGACAATCCTGACTAAAGGAGTTGCAGGAATTGGGAAATCCTTTGCTGTTCAGAAGTTCATTCTTGATTGGGCTGAAGACGAAACAAACCAGGATATTGACTTTGTTTTCAGTCTTGCTTTCCGAGAGCTGAATCTGAGTGTAGGAGAGAAAAGCCTCCATGAGCTGCTGACTGAGTTTCACCCGTCTCTCCAACCTCTAAAAGATTCCCAGGATTACGCCAAAACAAAGATCATAGTGATTCTTGATGGTCTGGATGAAAACAGACATCCACTGGACTTTCAGAAGTCAGCCAAAGTAACTTCTCTTGATCATATAGCATCTGTAGGCGATCTTGTTGTAAACCTGATCCAGGGTAACCTCCTTCCTGAGGCAAACATCTGGATAACTTCCCGACCAGCAGCAGCCAGTCAGATCCCTGCAGAGTACATCGACATGGTGACAGAGATAAGGGGGTTCACTGATGCTCAGAAAGTGGAATATTTCAGAAAGAGATTCGGTGATGATTCCAGTCTCACTGACAGGATAACATCACATATTCGGCCCTCACAAAGCCTGGACATCATGTGCCAGATCCCAGTGTTCTGTTGGATTTCTGCTGTCTTATTCCAGGAAGTCTTCAGCAGAAATGAAGAGACCGAAATCCCCCAGACTCTAACAGAGTTAATGGCACATTTTGTCTTTGCTCAGACAAAACGGAGAAGCAGAAAGTATGACATGAACCCTGAGAAAAACCGGAGAAGCTCCTGAAGACTCACAGAGAATTTCTTCTGAAACTTGGGAAACTCGCGTTTGTCCAGCTTCTAGAAAACCAACTCATCTTCTATGAGGAAGACCTGAAAGGTTGTGGCATTGGTATAGCAGAAGCAACAATCTTCTCTGGTTTATGTAACACTGTTCTCCGGGAAGAGGAAGTCTCCTCCCAGAAAAAGGTTTTCTTCTTTGTGCATCTGACTCTTCAGGAGTTCTTTGCAGCTCTGCACGTCTATGAATGCTTGAAAACTAATGAAACCAAAGAACTTGGGAAGTTCCTTTGTGTGGAAGACAAAGACATTCCTTTACTTGATCTTCTAAAGATGACAGTCAACAAAGTGCTTGAGAAGAAGAATGGTCACTTAGACTTTTCTTGCGATTCCTGCTTGGCCTGATG